GGGGGGGATATTGGGACACCGTGGGGTGGTGGCAACCAAGGGTGGTATGGAAGGGATGAGGGGACACCCAAGGGTGGTGGCATCATGGGGTGATGGCACTCCAGGGTGACACGATTTGGGTGTGGGGACACTATGGGTTGGTGGCAGCTAAGGGTGGCATGGAGGGGATGTGGGGACAGCATAGGGTGGTGGCATCGTGGGGTGATGGCACCCAAAGGTGACATGGAAGGGATATGAGGACACTATGAGGTGGTGGAAGCCAAGGGTGGCATGGAGGGGATGAAGGGACACCATGGGGTGGTGGTACCCAGGGGTGGTGGCACCCAAAGGTGGAATGGAGGGGGTGTGGGGACATCATAGGGTGATGGCATCATGGGGTGATGGCACCCAAGGATGGCATGGAGGGAGAGTAGGGACAACGTGGGGTGGTGGCACCCAGGGTTGGCATGGAAGGGATGAGGGGACACCCAAGGGTGGTGGCATCGTGGGGTGATGGCACTCCAGGGTGACACGATGGGGGTGTGGGGACACAATGGGTTGGTTGCACCCAAGGGTGGCATGGAGGGGAAGAAGGGACACCAGGGGGTGGTGGTACCCAGGGGTGGTGGCACCCAAAGGTGTAATGGAGGGGGTGTGGGGACGTTGTAGAGTGATGGCATCATGGGGTGATGGCACCCAAGGGTGGCATGCAGGGGACATGGGAACACCATGGGGTGGTGGCACCCAAGGGTGGCATAAAAGGGACATGGGGACACTATGAGGTGGTGGCAGCCAGGGGTGGCATGGAGGGGATGTGGGGACATCATAGGGTGGTGGCATCATGGGTTGGTGGCACCCAAAGGTGGCATGAAGGGGGTGCAGAGGCATTCTGAGGTGGTGGCAGCCAAGTGTGGCATGAAGGGAGTGCTGTGACACCATGGGACGGTGGTACCCAGAGATGGTGGCACCCAAGGGTGGCATAGAAGGGACACAGGGACGCCATGGGGTGGTGGCACCCAGGGGTGTCCCCATGGGGCCGCAGCTCACCTGCCCATAGAGCAGTCCTTCAGGACCCGGACTGGATTTGTGATGCTGGGCATCCATGCAGATGTTGAGCAACGATTCCTGAGCCAAACCCGGAGGCAGCAGCAGCAGCAGCACGGCCCAAAGGGACGCCATGGGGAGACGGGGTGGCACTGAGGGTGGGTGGTGACACCCAGGATTGGGTTGGCACCGACGTCCCCGTTGCCACGTGCTCAGAACTGCTGGGGACAAAGTTCCTCCTGGGTGACAACGGGTGAATGGGGACAAATGAGGGTCATGGGGGGACAAATGGGGTGCGTGGGGGATAAGTGGGGATGGGGACAGTGGGGACAAATGGGGACAGGGACAGCAGTGCTCACCGGTGGCTCTCAGTGGCTTTCTCCTGGTGGCTCCCATTGGTGCCTCTGTGCAACCCTTGCCCGTGGGTCACAGATCGATGCTGGCACGTGGGGCACGACGTGTCCTCCCCCCCTACTTACCGTTGTCCTCCCCCCCCTGTAACCCATCACCCCAAGCCCCCCCCGCCCCCAAATAACCCGATCCTCAAAGCTCACCCCTAAGGGGTGGGGGGACGGAATACACCTCCCAATGGGAGCCCAGATGGGTGGGTTGGGGGGGGGCAGGGTGTGTGTGTGGGGGGGGGCAGATACCGCTATAGAGGTGTCACATAAACACTTGGGGGCTCCGAATGCCCTGCAGGGGGGGCAGATGCCATCCAAATACCCCCCAGTGGGGTCAGAGTGCCCCCAAGGGGGGGGGTGAGGTAGCTGGGGGGGAGCAGATAACCCTGGGGATCTCAGAAGCCCCTGGGGGGAGATTCCAAATGCCATGGGGGGCGGGGGGGGCAGATATCCCTAGGGATGAGGTATCTCTGGGGGTCCCAAATGCCCCTGGAGGGGTAAATTGCCCCCCAGTGGGGACACAAATGCCCTGGGGGGGCAGATACTCCTGGGGGGGACAGATACCCCAGGGGGGGGGCAGAAACCCCTGGGGGGGGCAGATATTCCGGGGTTCTTGGGTGCTCGTGGCTCTCGGCGCACTCAGCTGTCAATCAACGCTTGGCCACACCCCCGCCTAGACCACGCCCCAATCACAGCCCCGTGTCGCGCAGTGGGCGTGGCCTCAAGCAACCCCGCCCCACCCGTGCGCGCATCATCACTCTGCGTGTTCTGCGCACGCGCAGTTCCGTAGCAACCCTCCCAGCGGTAGTACTTCCGGGGTCAGATTGTACTTCCGGGTCGGCCGCTGCGGCGGTGCCTGTTGGGCGCCATGTCCACCCTGTTCCCTTCGCTGCTGCCTCGCCTGACCGAACCGCTGTGGTTCAACCTGGACCGGCCGTGCGTGGACGAAACCGAACTGCAGCAGCAGGAGCAGCAGCACCAGGCCTGGGTGCGGCCGGGGGGGGAGGCGGGGATCGGTGTGAGGCCCGGTGTGGGCCCAGCAGGCCTCAGCCCCTCTGCTCAGCAAAGGGAAGCTCCCTCAGCAAGGGAAATTCTGTGCTGTGAGGGCGGCGCGGTGCTGGCGCTGCTGCTCTGGAGGTGCCAGGGGGCGAAGGGCTGAGCTGGTGGGGTTGCCCAGCCTATGGCGGGAGGTGGGTGTGGGTTTTAGGGTTCCTCCCATTGCACCCGTGCTGTGATTCTGTCATCCTGGGTGTTTCCTTCCTACCCTCCCCGGGCTGTTCTGTGATGCTCAGAGTCCGTGGATGTGTTGTGCTGTGAGTTCAGCCCTGGAGCTGAGACCCACGGGAATCGTGGCAGCCAGCGTGCGTTTGATTACAGCGAACGGGGGATTGAATTATCTGATTGAGATTAAAAGAAATCAGGCAATTAAAAAATCTCAAGCAGCTGGGAGAAGCTCAGAGCCCCCCCCCCCCTCCCCCGGGGCAGAGCTGTGTTAATTGAGAGCTGTGCTAATTGAGCTGTGCCACTTCCCCCGGGCAAGGAGTTCCTTATAAACAATGTCAACTCATGTCTTGGGGGCACTCATGGCCACCCCCCTTCCTCATCTCCATGTCCCCATGTGGATCTGTCCTCTGTGCCCTGTCCCCAAGGGGCTGCAGCCCTATGTGACAGTGCCAGGCTGTCCCAGCCCCCCCCCCCCATCATGCTCCTCCCTGTCCCCATTGATCACCCCTTCACCTTTCTCCCCAGCTTCAGAGCATCGCCGAGAAGGACAACAACCTGGTGCCCATTGGGAAGCCGGCCTCAGAGGTGGGTGATCACACTGTGGGACATTTGTCACCCAACCTGGCACTGTCCCTAGCGAGGAAGTGGAAGAAGGAAGGGTATTTTGGGGCAGCACGTGGCTTTGTGGGGATGGGAGCTCGTGGGGCTGCATCCCCTGGCCCTAATGGGGACGGAGATGTGGGTGGTGTGGCGTTAGATTTGCAGGTTGGCTCTGGATGTGCTGTGCACAGTGGGACACGCAGTGCCTCTGTGACACCCACAGCACTACGATGAGGAGGAGGAAGAGGACGATGAGGACGACGAAGACAGCGAAGAGGATTCTGAGGATGATGAAGACATGCAGGATATGGATGAGATGAACGATTACAACGAGTCTCCTGATGATGGGGAGATCAATGAGGTAAGGGAAGTGTTGGGGTGAGCTGGGCTACATCCCTGCCTCGCATCTAATCCCAGAACCACAGTTTGGGTGGGAAGGGACCCCAAAGCCCACCCAGCCCCTTTGTAGACACCACACAATCACAGCTGAGTGAAGTGGGGTTCCTATGGGGCAGAAATTTTCAATGTTTTCCATTCCAGGTGGATATGGAAGGGGCAGAGCAGGACCAGGACCAGTGGATGATCTGATCCTGGCAGAACCGGAGCCAGATTTAGCGTGAGATGGGGGATTGAGCCCCCATCCCTCTGCTTGGGGCTGTCCTGGAGCTGGGGGTTTGCTCTGGTGGCCACCATACATCACAGTGGGCACAGCATGAAGCTGTCCAGCAGGACCAGAAATGCTGGGCAGTGCCAGTGGGCACACAGCACACCTGGGAGCAGTGCGGGGACACAAGAGGAACGAAGCATCTTTCCTAATAAACACCTATTTTGTAGGAAATCAGCCACCAAATCTGAATGGCTTCGGGTGTCACGGGGCCGTGGTTGTGCCCCACAGGGCCGTGGTTGTGCCTCACAAGGCTTTGAGCACAGCTCTTCCCACCGAGCTCTGACTGCAGCCCACAGAATCACAGGATGGCTTGGGTTGGAAGGAACCTCAAGGATCATGAGTCTCCAACCCCCCACTACAGGCAGGGCCACCAACCTTCATGTTTAATACTAGACTAGGCCATCCAGCCTGGCCTTGAACACCTCCAGGGATGAACAGGGCATCCACAGCCTCTCTGGGCAGCTGTTCCATCACCTCACCACTCTGTAAATCCCCCCAGTGCCACAAAGCACAGCAGCCCCGCGTTTCCTTTGGGGTCAATGTTTATGGCTGAGCATGAGCACAGCAACGGGAGGCTGTGATTTCCACCAGACACCACCCCACAGTGGCAGCTCAGCGGGCCCCAGTGTAGCAGAGCTCAGCAATCCCATCAGGGATGGCACGGCAGTACTCCAGGCTGGCACGGTGCACCCTGCAGCGATACTTCCCACACGTCTTGGCGTACTGCAAGAAATGTGGGGCTCCTGGAAAGACCACGTTATCAGCCAACACCGTGGCCCTATCAGCCAGCAACCCGTGTTCCTCCAACAGCTGCAGATCCCTCAGGTAGCAACGCTTCCAGTGATCCATGAAGACAAAGTCAACGCTCTGCACGCCGTGCTGCTCCCTCAGCTGTGGGATCACCTCCTCGGAATGGCCCACGATCAGCTCTACCTGCATAGAAACACCCTCAGCTCCCCTGCCTTGCCTTGGCACAGCGCCGGCCGGCCAGCTGCTCACCGTCTGCTCGTCGAAACCTGCCAGACGGATCACCTTCTCAGCCACAGAGGCGTGTTGGGGGTTTGGTTCCACTGTGTAGAGCCGGGCGGCCGGCGGCAGCGCCGCAGCCATCAGCACGGTGCCGTAACCGCAGTAGGTGCCCAACTCCAGCACGGTGCGCGGCGCCCGCTCACACAGCAGCTTCTCCACGATCTTCCCTGCCAGGGCAGAGCATCCTCAGTGCCCTGCTGGGCTGAGGGGGGTCCTACAGCCATTGTGGCACCCTGCTGTGGTTGTGCCATCAGTCTTGTGGCTGTGCCAACAGGGCTATTGTGTTGCTGGGAGTGCCACGTGCATGCCAAGGGTGCCATGGCTGTGCCAGAGTTGCTGCAGCCATACCAACATTGCTATAGCTCTGCCAAAAGTGTCCTGGCCATACCAAGGGTGCCATGGCTGTGCCAAAGATGCTGCAGTCATGCCCATGGTGCTGTGGCTCTGCCAAAAGTGTCCTGGCCATTCCAAGGATGCCATGGCTGTGCCAGAATTGCTGCAGCCATACCAACATTGCTATAGCTCTTCCAAGAGTGTCCTGGCCATACCAAGGATGCCATGGCTGTGCCAAAGATGGTGCAGCCATATCAATATTGCCATGGCTCTGCCAAAAGTGTCCTGGCCATACCAATGGTGCCACAGCTCTGCCAAAAATTCCCTGGCCCTACCAAGAGTGCCGTGGCTGTGCTAGTGATGGCACAGCTGTACCCACAGTGCTGTGCCCATGCCAATGGTGCCGTGGCCATTCTGTGGCTGTGCCACTGATGAAGTAGCCCTGCTACCGATGCCATCACCAGGCTGGTAGTACCGTAGCCACGCCACCATTGCCACAGCCACACCAACAGCCCTGCCAAGAACCCCACGCGGCCACGCTCACCTTTGAGGGGTCCCACACAGCTGAGGTGCTCACAGTGGTAGCTCCACTGGTCGAAAGTGTGCAGGATGTGCTGGGGGTCCCCGGGGATGGCGTGGGTCAGCACATACTGGAAGGCACGCTGCTCGCGGGGCACCCCGGTGAGGCGGTCCTGCAGCCAACCCAGCAGCACAGCACGGTACAGCAGCACCAGGTAGTGCCGGTAACGGATCAGCAGAGTGATGAGGAAGGGGAGGAAGGCCAGAGCGATGGCTGGAGACACCATGGCCAGCCCTCTGCTGGCTCCTGTGCCCAGCAACCCCCAACACCAAATCCCGAGCCACGCGTCGTGCCCCTCTCACCCCAAACCTTGGGAGTTGTAGGAGATTCCTGGGCTGCGGGTGTGGTCCCACAACTTCTGGTTGTGCTCAGTGTGTCCCCAGGTCCCCAGCCGGGCTCTGCTCTGTGCTCAATTATTGATGGTGACACCTTAGCCACAGCCTGAGCTGGCTCCGGTTACTGGGCTGAGTGGGGATGTGTTATGGGGTGGGGGTGGGGATGGAGCAGGGACTCAGATGGGATGGAGTAGAGATAAGGATTGGGGTGGGATGGGGATTGAGTAGAGTGGGGTAGAGATAAGGATTGGGATGGGGTAGGAATGGAGATAGAGTAGAAATAAGATTGGGGTGAGATGGGGTAGGAATGGAGATAAATAAAGATAAGGATTGGGGTGGGATGGGGTAGGGATGGAGATAGAGTAGGGATAAGGATTGGGGTGGGATGGGGTAGAGGTAGGAATGGAGATAAATAAAGATAAGGATTGGAGTGGGATGGGGTAGGGATGGAGATAGAGATAAGCATTGGAGTGGGATGGGGTAGGGATGAGGGAAGTGATGGAGTGAGATGGGAATTGAGTAGAGATGGGGTAGAGATAAGAATGGGGATGGAATGATGTAGAGATGGGGATCAGGTGGGGATGGTGTAGGGACTCATGGGAGAAATGGAAGAGAGATAAGGATGGGGATGGAGTAGAGATGGGGATGGAGTAGAGATAAGGATGGGGTAGGGATTCAGATGGGATGGGGAAGGAGTAGAGATAAGGATGGGGATGAGATGGGTTGGTGATGGGGTGGGATAAGGTATAGATGGGATCAGGTGGGGATGGAGTAGGGATTCAGATGGAATAGGAACGGAGTTGAAATGGGATAGAGATAAGGATGGAGATGGAGTGGGGATGGAGTAGAGGTAAGGATGGAGATTGGGTGGGGATGGGGTAGGGATTCAGATGAGATGGGGATGGAGTAGGAATGGGGTAGAGATAAGGATGGGGATGGAGTGGAGGTGGGATAGAGATAAGGATGGGGATGGAGTGGGTTAGGGATGGGGTAGTGATGGAACAGGGATTTG